AGTTCAACCCTCAACTATCGTTTAGTGGTCTAGCCAAACTAGTTAATGAGGTTCGTGCGGCGTTCCACAACAGTCACTTGCGATATGTCAATTGAGCATCAACATTAGTTTCTATACATTAATTTAAAAGTCATGTTTGTACTGCCTTAGTATCCATCTATCAACGTAAATGTAAGCACTATAGTGCATGCGCCCCACATATGTGAAACTTTAAAAAAATCCTATTTTTTTTTCAAAGAAACGTTCGACAACATTTTATTTCATTATCTATACAATATTCCCCATGACTGTTAGGCCTAGCATTTACCAAATGTGTGAGACAGCACGACATAGCCTAATATACATTAATAAACCATTTTAAAGCAGAAATAATATTACCATTAGCGTTTCATTCCCGATATACTATAGACGTATCTTACCATTCACTTGACAATTGCAATTTATTACTCTGCGCCTTCGTGTTCTCATGGGAGTATATTCACAATGATAAATCATCGCGAAAATTGTTGACCATGTCATAAACCAAACGTTAACATGCAAGCTGGAACTGCATTCACCAATAATACATTTATACACAATTCATAAATACCATATATCATTAATGAAAAAAACTATTCTAATCTAAATATTCATTTACAATATAATTAATATATACCTGATATGTACACATACTTTCTTAGGGTTACGGTACAGTTAAAATTTATCTATCTTAATACTTATTATCAATACTGTTTTTCGAAGATTGCATCAGTTAATTGTTAATATCTTCTTTCAAACCTAAGGGTAGGCAACTGAGTCAGGCCTATCGTAAATTTTCAGTAGCGTATTTGCTAATTTTGACCCTTTATCTTTTGTTTCTTTCTAGTTGCGTCTTGGATCGGTCCAGATCATTAATGGCAAACACTCGTTCAATAGAACGTAATATCTGTGTACTAAATGTTTTTGACATCCAATCAAATAAAACAATACTAAAATGACAAATATTCCGTAATATTTCTTAAATGCAGCTCACAAAATGCACATGCAATTTAAGTCCACGATACATGAAACTCTCAATACGATTGACGCTAAAATTCACATAACAAAAAGAAGTTTGTACATGCATTGATTATCAATGACATAATCCAAGTTTACGGGCCCTGCGGGACATGATGGGCAGTCGCGTAGATTATGAAGCGGTTTCTTGTCCTTGGCATTAAACGGAAGTTATACAATACTATAGTACTGTAATAATCAGCAATGACACATTCCAACTTTACGAGCAATTGCGGGACATGACGAGCACTTGCCTTCTTTAGACCGCCAATTAGGCCTATGCGGTTTCTTGTCCCTGGCATTAAACGGAAGTTTCAGTTTTGGGTTGATGTCATAATGTTCTTCATCATCTACAACTTCTGTCTCCTCGTCCGCCGCCTCCTCTGCTGATTCATCCGCTTCTGTGGCAGTCACTCTCGCAACTTTTCCTTCAGCTGTCTCATTTGGTACTCCTGTTTTTTTATTTACCTTCGTTACAGTCGTCACCTCAACAGGTTCTACCTCCTCCTCTTCCACAAATAGTGCTCTTTTCGTTGTCCCCTCCACCGACATCATCCCTTCCACTGCCTCTTCTCCCTTTTCCACTTCTGCCTCCACATCATCTCGCGTGGTCATCGTTGTTAGGTTGACAGGCTGTTCGGTCAAAATTGCATGGCTAGGTCTAGGACTCCCATCACTGCCTTCAATTTCTTCGTTATAAAACGGATCTGTTTCTCCTACACATAGTTCCAATAGGGCAAGAGTAAATATGAAAACAACCAATGCTGATGTTCGCACCATTTCCTTTTTGATGATCTAAAATATATATACAAAAAACCCTAAGAGTTAATACCATTTCGAATAAAAGTTGATACGGACAGTATATGAAGTAAATTTTAAATACATTATACAAAATGTTATACTACTGTATAATGGTTGCTTGTGACGTTGGTAAAAGCTAGAAAAACGTGCATCTAAATAGTCGTGACAAACGCTATTAATGGCATGTACGACTTTTCATAGAAAGAGCTTATACGGTAAAGTGTAATTAAGCGTAGAACAGACCGTTAGGATAATGTTTCTGGAACATTTCTGGCCTGACAAGACCGATGAACGTTCCAAAGGGAGTTATGGCATGTCTACTAATAAAGACTGTTACCCATAATTATATATTTTAATATTCCGTGTTGTGATATTAAACGTTTGTCAGTTTTCGAATGTGTTTCCTTATTTTATGTTGGAAAATAAATTAACAGTATTTAATATAAAATCGCTATATCGCCAACGGGTTTTGGCGACGCTGATTGGTAGGTTGAATCGGGCGCCTTCCTAGTTGCGTCGGGGACAGCAGCTACGCAGTGATTTAAGTGGACACGATATATAGTGAAGGGTAATACATAGCGATGTTATGGAAATCATAAGTGTGTCTGCTATGCAGTGACTCATGAGAATGAAAACTGCGCGTGTGCAACCTTATAAGATAATTGGCGAAATCAGTTATTACTTGGAGATAAAAAAGGGAAAAAATAGTTCAAAATGTATCGGTGACAAGAAGCCTGCTTATGTTCCGCCATTACCATCGGAAAGGATTTAATAAGAACAAAATATATACAAGCCGTCTTATGGTATGAAACAATTTTAAAGCCAGTTTTGTAGTCCCGCTTTAAACTACATCGTAAGAAATAGCATACAACTTAATTAGACGATATGCAACATTTTAGGCATATTTATATGAAGCAAAATACAAAAATCGCAAAAAAAATTGTTTGTATAGATCACCGTATTGACTTTACTTTTACTACTACTACTACTACTACTACTACTACTACTACTACTACTACTACTACTACTACTACTACTACTACTACTACTACTACTTCAAGCAGTAAATTATTAGCACAATTTTCTCTGTAGAATTTATTTTAGGCCTAATTTGGGAGTTTTGATTGTATTTAGTAGATGTATGGCTTCCTTATCACAAACATTACGATTGCTGTGTTTTATTTACATTGACATCGTGTACGTTATGCAAATGGAAATTCAAATAGATTATGTATCACTTATGTTACATCTTAGCTTGTATTTGAAGAAATCGTGACAAGCTTTTTGCATTTGCATATCGGTTGACATCTACGCGTTATAGTTCGTGATACATTCGTTGGACTTATCTTTGCGTCGTCAGTAAGTCGTACATCTTATGAACAATTTTACATAGTAGACTAAAAGTAAGACATTCAAGTATCATATCGGTTACATTGTATGCAACGTGTATTTCTAGGCATTCTACATTATATTCCTAATATGCCTATAGGCCTACAGCACATTGTCAATAATATAAAATCAATATGTAAGCCTATTATTAGGCCTATAATAATTTAACTTACTTATGATTCCCAAAAAATCACTTGCGACATTTTTTAGAAAGTATTTGGAAACCTACTGAGTATTAAGTAGGTGGGTTCGATACTCACCCGAAACTAATTTTGCAAGTAAATGTTGGGAACGTAGGTCTACTAAATATTCGGTAAGATAACACGTCATGAGGGCAAAGTATCACTCCTATAACTTACATTAAGCACAATTATATTGTAACCATATACATTTAGTAATAGACCTGGCCTAATAATATGTAATCAAAAGGCAATTTTAGTAATGTAAATAAATATTAAAACTATAGTTTTTAAACAGCTGTATATATTATTGCAAAATGTACGTTATTTGTTTAAATTTTGCTAGTACTGGTGCCATCTAGTGCAAATAATATACAGAATATGACATAAACAAAAAAAAAACAAAAAAAAAAACAGTACAGTAAAGAGCTCGGCTTTGGGTAGTAGGGTCGTCTTGATTACTAAGGCAACGGTATGCCTGCATACCCAGGCAATGTAATTAGGAACTGAGTTTAAATAACTTATTTGCATTGCCTCCGAACGACACCATTTCAATTGTATGTAGAAGGACAAAGTTCTGTAAAGTTACGATATAATTAAGAAAATAGTGAAAGACCTACCTTTTAGAAAACAAACACATTCGCCTTTTCTTGATAATATGTTCTCCGTTCTTCAGGTAGACGACAAGGTATATCAATACACCATTAGTGTTTACATCTTACTGTTGGTATATTTCTTTAAGCATCTATCCTTCCCTGTTGCTTCTCGGCGAGTATCCAGAGGAATGGTTACACGTCTAGTCTTCACACGCTGCCGTTTTCATATATTTCTTACTGAACTTAAGTTGACTCTTACTTACGACGAGTTAAACTGATTACTTTCTCTTCGATCGCTCTAGATAGCTTGTGCTACCGGTAAGTAATCTGCAATTTGGCCATGTGACATGGATTTCAAGACGGATTTACTCGAGTCTTGCCACTTTCTATTCAATTAGGCAGAAATTTGAAACATTGATCATGAGATTTCTGCGTGAAATCGTAAATGGGGATAGCGATATGAAAAATGTATATTCAGTACTTTACTATTCTCTCCCGAAGGTAGCCCTGATGGACTTACTTATGAACACGCATAAAATGTGCACGAAGTTCAATTGGATCCTTAGGCCTATGTCTTGTTACACAATTATTGTGTAGATTAGGCCTATATGATTCTGTTTGTTGCGTGGATTGTATCCATTAGAATGTAAAAGCATAATTATGCTTGTTTGCGCAGGCCACATTTTTTATCAGGGCAATTGCTTCGGTATTAATTCCATCCTGTACTGATTGTGACTCGATAAAGGAATATATCGAATTAAATTGAATTTAAAAAAAAATGCACATCATTAAAATAAGTGGTAATATATAAAAATAGTTAAAAAGCAATATAATATATATGAAAATTACATTAAAATTCAGAATTATAATCATAAAAATAATAAGAGACAATGCGGTCCTATACACCAAAGAGAAAACACAACAGACTAAATACGCAAAATCACTACAAAAATAACAGCATAAAAAGCCAACACGTGACCTTCATATAACCATATCAATCGAGTAGATATAAAATCGATTGCCCAAACATTGAACCATAACGACGTGTCTATGTAATGTGCATGTGTACCCATGTTGTATTTAATTATAAACACGTATTTTATTGCAATACATGTAGCTATATCCCGTCTACAAACATTTTGATATTTCATTTATCAATAAGGTGTGTAGGATGTAAAATCTTCCCATCATCCGTCAATCAGCTAAGCTTATCAATGTTGTGCCGTTGGCGTAGCGGCCAATGTATCCATAATAGGCCTACTTCCATAACACTTTAGGGGTCGTTCACGATTATCAACATTATCAAGTGTCATTATATAAAACCATTCTAATGGACTAAAGGCCTAACCAAGTGGCGGTGCTACGGGGGGGGGGGGAAGGTAGGGGAGATACACCCCTCCCCGTCGAGGAGGCCTCTTCCCCCACCCCCAGGAGTCGGGAAGAAAAAAAAAATTATATGTATTTTGTACATATTAATAGACTCTAAAATCGATTAGGCCTAAGCCTTTGAAACCCCTAAACTGTCATATTTTCGGAAGCTATGTACCCTGAACC